AAATTAATCCAGGGGTACCCCAGTCTACTCTCCGTCTTGGAAGGGTACATCTTATTGATGGTTGCTTCTTAAGTATTTCCTGTTTCCTATCCACGTGCGAGTATGACAAAGCTACTTTAGAAACACTTCGATGTCGGCAGCCAGCCAATCGGATAGTTTGGTATAGGATTTTGATGCCAGGCCGCTCAGATTCAAGAAAGTAAAGAGGAGAGCATTGAGAAGGCTTGAAGCAGCGAAGCCTTGATCCCAAAAACCTTACATGTGGACATGCGGCTTATTGACCTATCAGCTATTCTGCGATGACTTTGCTGTTGCACAGACAAGACTGGACAAGACAGACAAGACATGTTTTTTGCTTGGATTGGACAAATGCAGATTTGAACACGAGTTTGCACCACTTCCAAGCAGCATACTGGCATACTGTGTTTTTGAAACAAGTGGAACTAACCCCAGACTGAGTTGGGGATCTATGGCATTCCTTGACATCCTTGACACGTAGAGTGGGTTTAGGGTACTCAACATTGTGAGCGGCTGCCACGACCATTTTCCTCCTGGGCCGTGGCCACAGTTGGAAGAGAAGACACCGGCACCAGCTGAGCCCCTTGGGAACAAGAAAGACATCATCGTTTGTCAAGGTGGAGTAGCAGCATGAGGCATGAGGTTTAGGTTTGACCTTCAATGTTGCAAGCGCAGCATACTTCCTTCCACACAGCTTTGATTGACACTTGAAACTCAAAGTGTCAAAAGCTTTCAAACACGGAAAGGCAGCGCCGGCAGAGCAACAAAGCAGCAGGTTTTGGGGTACAGAACCAACTCAATATGTCCCATGGAGGCTCGTTTACACAACCAGTTATATACCAGTGCCTTTTGTCAATGTTTGCCAATTTTTCAGTTGCGGCAGCGGTGGAGGCAGCACGGGTGGCATCAGCATTCAAGTCACAAGTATGCAGCATGAAGCCCTAAGGCCACATCCACTTAGCGTTCATTGTGTTAAGGCAGGAATTCTTTGGAGAAGACTTGGTCAAGAGAACATGCATGGGTTTTAGTTGTTTGATCAAGCAAGCATTGTGTTGGGAGGAACCTCCGATTTAGCCTGGTCCAGCTCGTGGTTTGTCAGAAGTGGAAGTGGACCTAAGAATAATCCATATACATTCACAAGATTCCTGGTTCCTATGTTATATATATATATATTAATCTACACATTAACTATGGATGATCTGTTTTCATTGGACGTAGTAGTACTTCCCGGGTTTTGATTTTCATACGATGAATCCGGGTGACCGGGTCTCCAAGGAACGAGCAGTTCACGGTGAAGATCTCCAAGGTCGCCACATGTGGGTCTGCTGTGGGTACAGATCGCTACTGCAATACTTGAGTCCCATGTCTATACTGCAAGTGTCATGGGGTTCTTGGGTGGCATTGCTTGAGAATAAAGTCACTGTAAGGCAATGTAAGGTATCACTATTTTTAGATAGTTCGTTGTGATTGTATACACGAAAAACATTTTTGCCATTGAACAAAGACACCACTGGCAGTCAAAGAAAGGGTCAGGCAGAGCCCTTGCCTTGGAGTTGCCTGCAATGAGATGCAGGGCCCTCATTGCATACGGCGATAGAGACAGACAAAGGGGATGTCAACAATTAGGTTGGAGGCCATCGCTAGTAAGTTGGAGGCCATCGGTTCTAGGTTGGAGGCCATTGCTAGTAGGTTCCTTTTCCTATTTTGTAGGCCGTCGCTCTTGGCCCTTCTGGGCTTGTGCACCCCAAGTCGTATTCCAGTCCAACCGTTTAGAGTTTGGAGGCAGAACAGACTACGAGGGATGCATGCTTGTGTTTAGAGCTGGATTGGCCCACCAACACTTCCTTGTTCAGCTGCTTGGTGACGGCATAACCCGAAATGCTTGGGGATTTTAAGCAAGATCTTATAAACACTTTGCCCAAAATTTGAAGAACCGGAAACGCACTCCATGGCAGGTCGGTGGCAAGCTTGGTGGAGCTTTGGACACTGTCTATGAGACCCATTGTGCTCCTCAGCGCTTTCTTTTGCCATTGTGAGCACCAGTGCAATCTCGAGCTGTGAGCCGCCTTTACTTGGAGCATATACATATAGTGCTAGTAGTAGGTGTGGAGATAAAGGTTGTGGAACTCAGCAGCCTTCCGGGACCTTTCCCGCTCACCTGAATTCACTCCAGCGTGGTGCAAGACCAACAATAGGTGTTATGTGTGTTTTACTGTTTCTTAGCCATGATCACCCCACATGGCCAGACACAAAGCGTCAAGAGAGCCTACCTCATTGGTTATCTTCTATCATCAGCTTCAACGCCTTCTGGGGCAAACATATGCAATGCTTGAATCAACTAGTGTGAAACCGTCATTCAGAAATTGCAAAACCTTGACTGTGCCAAGTCTTTGTAGATAACGGACCTGTGGCCAAATTATACTTTGAGTGCATTTGCTCTGGCACCCCGAGTTACATATTGCTTTGAGCTGCGTCCTGCACCGATGAGAAGTATGTAAACATCCTGTTGTTTGTTCGTTGTTTGTTTTCTGATCAAGGGGTTCAAACCAATCAGTTCCTGCATCCAGACCGAGTCGTTACAGCTCGTTCGAGGTTGTGAAGCGTGTTGATGCCGGCGGCGCTCTTGCTGGTCAGTCGCCCGCTTCGTATACTTCGTTTGGGGAGAAACCTTAGTGGCCACAGAACAATGAGAGGGAGTCGAATTACATGGATTGTAGTGAAGATTCATTCCCCAGGGCCCGAGCGTAAACTCGATCGTAGGGCAAGTTGTAATCATACACATTATATAATAGTATATATTTACATTTTATCTCTATGTAGTTCTGAGGAGTTAGTTAGTATATTGAAACGTCCAGCCCAATAAGCAAGAAGCTCACGGTTATACTTATACATTCAGTGTATATATATATATGTATATTGGTTTTAGTTGGTTCCTTGATTTACAACAAAGTACGTTATACATATCTGTCGACAAACATACTATGTATGATGCAATATTAAACACATATACATATATGATAACTTTATCAATACATATATATATATGACATGTTCTTGTCGGGAATCCGGAAGCATCGGGAAACTGCCACACGTATAAACAGCTTGCCGGGCCGGGGCAACTGTTCACTAAGGAACATTCAGAAATACGACCGGCTGAGACAAGTTCAGCAGAAAGAAGGCTCAGCCTCTGCGCTCGTCAAGATGATTGCTGGTGCTTCTGATGAACTGGAGCTGCTTGTCGAGCGGCCAACTATGAAGGCCGGCCATTTTTGCCTTGATCAAGTCACCAAGTTGGATAAAATGAGCACTGGGCGGTTGTTGCTGAGGCTTGATGTTTTTGTTCTGAAAGTTTGACCGCAAGTTTCACCCTTGGGCCTCTTTCTCGCTGTAGCAGACTGCTTATATGATATTGTCTTCTTTTTTATTGATATCACGTGTAAGTGCTTGAATTCAACAAAGTATCATGCCAGCAGCGCAAGTAAGCCTTTTCCCCCCTGTTTGACAAAAGGCGATTGGTTGCCGAGCAGCGAGAAGAGTCATTTGTCGAGCATCATAAGATAATTACTGTCACTGTCGGACTGTAGGATGTTGTAAGTAATGGTAGGACCCGAATCCCTGGGATGATGGACTTTAAACACCTACAAAAACAGTTGGCACCTAAAACTGTTTCAGCGGAGCAGGATTTGGTTCTGCACAAGAATGGTGACAAGGCACATTGGAGACGGCTCACAAGTTTTGAGGTTTGGGAGCCGGGTGACCCAACAAATATCCTGAACCTTACGCTGAAGCTTATGTTGAAATTGGTACTGTTTCAATGAAGTGATAACTTGCAAGACTCTGGAACTAAGAGACAGGTACTGACAAGATTCAGATTGCAGAGTACGGGATATTTAGGTCCAGGTCCAGGTACTTTTACTGCAGACGGTTGACCATGAGAGGAAGTAGAGTGAGTAGACTGTGGCCGGTTGAAGCTGGATTTTGTAGGCCCACAGATGAAGCCAGTTTACAAATCCAGGAGAACACCTACCTGGCTTTCTGGCCTTCACAAACCTTCATGACACAAGTCCCCGACACAGCTGCCATGAAGGCTACGTCATGACTTTCATTCTAAGTGTGAGTTTGCGATTCTATGGCATACAATCTTAGGAGCGCTTTGTCTGACATACCAGGTATGTGGCACTGAGTGCACGAACCAAATAGTTTTGGCTTTTTGCCTCGGACGTGGAATCTGTGGACGCCGAAGTAAATCACCTACAGGTTGGGCTCAAGATTGACAAAGACGGCGACACCTTAGGACTCATCATCAAGGCCAGGTGGGACTACTTTTGGATCGAAGGATACCAAAGGAAGTACCAAAGGAAAATGAGTTAAGTAGATCAGTAGATCTATATAAATTAGATAGTATATTTATATATAACATTTGAGGAATTCTGAGGATAAGCAGATTCTTTTTTAAGTGACAGAGACGTGTTTGACGACTGACTACTGCGACCTCTCGCGGCTCTCATGCAGACCTGAAGAAGCCATATTTGAGTTCCTGTTTTCAAATCCTTAGTTTTTTCGTAATTAGTCAACTTTGGGACATAACTTAACACGATTTTGGGCACCCCTTTGCAGACTCTTTCGCGCGCAACATGATTAGCCACTAAAATGTGCAAAAAACACCTGCCGATTTTCGCAGAAGCCGTGCGGAAGGCTCGCGCAAGCCTTGCGGAAGCTTACATTTCCCAATTTGTAGGATACCCAATTGAAAACAGCATGAGGGAATGTAGAAGTGACAGCTCCAAGAAATCTATTTGACCTGCTGTAAAAATTATCGTTGTCGCGCGGAAGCAACCGTTAAAAAAAAACATAGGAAGCGCTCGGTAGCCATTGTGGCGTAAGCTCAGAGGAAGTTCCCGCTCAACAAGTAGCATGCGCACATAGCGGAAGGTTGGCGCAAGCACGTCCGGAAGCTTTGTGTTACGTCCACCACAAACAAAACGGGAAACAAATCAATTTCATTGGCTGCAGATTTGTCCCAGGTCCAAGACAGATTCACAATCATACTCAATCATACATGCAATAAACTGTGGAGTGTTGAATGTGCTATATCGATATCCCGTTGTTACAGCTTAGGTCGGTGCGGTCAATCATTTACTTTCTATTTTGCCTCAACGACTTAAAGTATATACCAGGATCATTCATAGATGCCAGGAGCGACATACTTGGAACCCGCCACCAAAAAGCAAGACAAATAGTAGCGGATGAAAACACAAGTATATAAATGATTAGACAGGCACAACGTATATTATAGTTTACATTTGTATCTAGACATGGAGAAAGCCCTGACATCATCACCATGGTGTTTGAGGATATGCGGCCAACATAGGTGCCGAAGATATAGATGCGCAGTTCCACAATAGCTGTATAACTGTATAATGTATACGGGAAGGAAGTGTAGATCCAAAGCTTTTAGGTCTAAAAGAAAAGACTGTTTTGACTAGGCTTACTAGGCTTGTCTGAAGAAAGGCAAACACATCCAACCGCTGCGAAGAGGTAAGTGGGGAATGGCCTCCACCCTACTAGCGATGGCCTTCAACCTAGAAGCAATGGCCTGCAACCCAAAAGCCTTTGCTACTAGTAGTAGCGTCTTGCTACTAGTAATAATGGCCTCCACCCTACTAGCGATGGCCTCCAACCGAGAAGCAATGGCCTCCAACCCAAAAGCCTTTGTTACTAGTAGCTTCTTGCTACTAGTTGTAATGGCCTCCACCCTACTAGCGATGGCTTTTGCTTGCATGAGGGGGCCCCCCCTGGCACAGGTGGCGGGGAAGGGGCTGAGTAACGAGTCTGAAGGTGAACCGAAAGAGAGAAAATCTTGTGGACAAAGTCCCGGAGATAGCCAGTGTCAAGACCCAGTCATTCATGGCGCACACGCGCCAATGCATTGCCTTTCTTCAAGCGTTTCTGAAGCACGTTCCATGTCTCCGTTGGAGTCTGCCACTCAAAGAGACAAGGATCGTCAACGTCGCAAAAGTTTACTTGAGGCATCCAGTCATAGGAGCAAGGTTTATTGCGGCGACGAAATTCTTCAGAGATCACTGTGACCACCCGCTCTTGGTTGGGAAAAGCAGGGCGATGGGACAAGCCAAAAACGCAAGTACCTGCTCCCTGTCTATACAAAGAACAAATGCGAGCTCTTTTGGCATGTGGCGGAAGGAGCGGAGTGCTGCAGAGCGAGACAACCTGTCCTACCATGCCAGCAAATTGAGTGGCACACTCATTCCAAGTGTAGCTGTACACTGCAGCTTCAGCCTGATTCCGAGCCCAAGCAAAAGGATGCACTGGGGAGGAGGCCACTCTGTGCAGTGGAATATACCCCTTCGCATGCAGCATGAAGCTGAGTACTAGTTCCATCCAAGAGATACCGACCCGAGAGTTGGCAGGAGCTTCATGCGGCTCCTCAGGCGGCCAGACAAAAAGGCTGAGCCACTGGAGGATCACAGTCAACAAGCTTGTTCCCCAATAGGAATGGCAAAAAAACTGATTTACCGTCGCACAGGGCAGATCCAGCTTCCAACCATTCGGCACTGACCAAGAGCTCATTAACTGGCTGAAGGCAGAGGCTTGTCGAGCCGGATGCGGTTCAGCAGGGTTGAAGGAGGCCGGTTGATGGGTCTCGCATGCTTTACGATGCACCTGCAAAGCTAAAGACAACTGATAGAACTCGGTCAAAAGGCGCATTTCTTCACGACCCTGATTAGCTTGTGTCAGCCATGTATCGGTGAGATGCTTATAACAGGATCGACACACCTCTTCAGCCGCTCGATCAGCTGCTGCATTGCCCAATGCATGGTAGCATTCAAGATCATTGAGTTGTGCAGCACAAGCATGACCCTTGATCTTAACTATCTGGTTATGCTCCCTGTGAGGGATGTCAGCAATTCTCTTACACAAAGGGGGGTAAGGGTGTCTATGCAAGGCCCTACCCGAAACCAAATGTGCAGCCCGGAAACTGGCAATAGCGCTAGCTGAGTCAACGTGAATGGCAAAAACTTTCCTGGGCACGAACAATTGCCAGCAGTTCGGCATGATGAATATTCTGTTCCCCCGGGCACAGTTCTTGCATAACAACATGGTGTGTCGAAGGCAGTTGGCCAGTTTCTTTGAAGCGTTGTGCCTGCCAAATCCGTTCGGTATCGCTACGACAGGAATCAATGACCACACTATACCCCGCAAACCGGAAAGAGGGAAGCGTGGGGCATTGGCAACTTCCATCGGTGTAGACATGCAACGGGCAATCACTGGAAATGCCCTGATGTAAGGACTGAAGCAAGACAGCATCCAAGGGCCGTTCCTGGAGTGCATGTTGAAAAGTAAAACGAAATTCCTGATTCAAAGACAACCGGGAGATCCGGAAGGAGTGTATCCACCTCAAGTACAGTGGATATCAAATCCGAAAAAGGCTCCCGGACTGATTGAGTGGCAGCGCAAGAGAAATATCGGTGATACTTGGTATCTTCTTGACCACACCAAGGGCATTCAGGGGCAATCTGGTCGTCCCAAACGGCTTGTTGACTGCGTGTCTGAAAGGCACCCGCAATTTCACGCACTAAAAGCCGACGTTCCCCCGGCGTGAATTTGGCAAGGACACTTCGAGTCAAGTGCTGGTCAATGTTGGGAAAATGCATCAGGGACCGACGATGCGTATGCTGTAGCAGGAGCTTGTCCTGCCAGGCACGTTCTGCAAAGAGTGTCAGCGTGCACCAGGGGCGTGTGAGAAACTCAACTCGCACGAAGGTGGAAATTTGAATCATCCCTTGGGCATCAAAACTCCAGCCCAAACGAGCAATGTAGGCTTTAAGTGTAGAGGCTAGGCCTTTAGATGTATTAGGCCTCGGAAAAAACTTAGCCACCAAATTAAAGAAAGCCAACTGGGTTGTCCGAGGCTGGGTCAACAGGAAGCGACGGGCAGCCGCACAGGCATTCAAGATCAAATGAAGTTCCGGGTCTCGAACATACTTGGAGGCACACAGTGTGACCAGGGCAGACGACATGCTCTCCGAAGGACCAACCAAAGCCTCAGCAACATGGTATCGCAGGGATTTAGTATGCTGTTGACCAAGAGGGAAAAGCTCAGCTCCATGGAAAGCTACTGAATAGATGCTGGCTGAAATGACCTGGGCACGGACATCAATGTCAGCATGTGAGTACTTCAGTCGAGCAAGCCTCTCTTTGGCTTTCTGCAATCGATGACAAAGCTTGGCCAAACGAGCAGCTCCTTGATAGCGAAGGGGGCAGCCGAGGTCTGAGGCAAATTGAACCCTTTCAATCACAGGCAATTGTAGCTTAGCAAAAACAGCCCTGACAGAACTAGCCAAGTTATTGTGTGAAGCCCACCACCAGGTTTTGGACCAATCAATGCGTAAGCCAATCAAGCTCGTCCAGTGCAGGGTGATCTCAAGAATGGGTTGAAGTTCCCGAAGATCCTTCACAGCCCAAGCCCAATTGTCAGCGTAGGCAGAAAGCATGGGTTGAGTGGACGTGGCACAACGGCATGCAATGGTCCAACATTGGGCAACCCCAAGCATGACTAGAACCGAGAAGACATCCCCTTCTGGAAAACCACAACAACTTGGGAGCGGGTCAGAACACTGCCCACAGACCTCCCAGCGGCGAGTCAAGTGAGCGAGCGATTGGGCCCATTGGTGGAGAATGGGCTGCGGGACACCAAGACGAGCAAGGATACTAATACCACGAGATCTATTTATAGCGTTAAAGCATTTGACAAGATCTAGGGTGACACCTGCGCAATGCTCTCCAAGGTGATGAGCCTGTTCGAAAAACCACTGGGCGGTATAAGCTGCCTCGAAAGCGCCTCTCCCCGGGAGAAGCCCAGTAATGTCATACGTCATGGACTGACCAAAGGCTCTCAAGATCTGACGGCAAATGACCTGCGCCCAAACATGGTAAATCTGGGACAACACGGTAATAGGCCGAACAAGACCAGGTGCAGGAATGCCCTGCCCCTTGGGCGCCGCAAAGACACGTGAAGACATGAACCAGGCTGGGAAGCCGGCCTGATAGCTATTGACCACTCGAATCAGGGATTCAATGAGAGGTACTGGCAAAGATTGCAATTCGAAGGCCGTGATGCCATCAGGGCCCGGAGCAGCATTCCACCTCAATCCCTTGATCACACTCTGCCAGTCTGAGAGGCTAGTGACATCAACCTTTATACAATGATTGGGCAAAAGATAAAGAAATCGATCGAACTGAGTATCAAGCTCAGGGCTGAGTAAATGAGAGTCATCTCTCTGCCAAAG